ACCAGTATGGCTTCTTGCCAAAAAGATCAACAAAATACGCTATTATGGATTTCCTATATACTTACTGATTAAAAACGGACAGAGCATGCCTTGTAACACTTGAAGATTCGATTGGTTTTCCAATGACTTAGTTTGTGGTAGTCATTGGGAGAGAAACTATAGAAAACCTGATTACTCAGCGTAAGATTAACTGAACAATGTTGAAGGGTATTAGCGATATCAAAAGTGTATATGAGGAACAGAAGGGGCCCTGATATGGATCCCTGCGGCACTCCGGAACAAATATGCCTTTATTCTGAATGTTGTCGTTCACTTAGATAGCAATCCATCTATTTTAGAGCCAATCCTTCAAATCCAATGTATACTAAGTGACATATAAATCCGAACACCCAGTTTAAATGGTTTTATTTTAATAAAATTTTGTATAAGTACTTAATGAAGCATAATAAGTAAATGATAAAAATTTCAAAATGATTGCACTGCTTTAAAGCCCTTTGACCTATAATAATGTGTGGATGCACCCTGATGTGCTACGCATTCTCCAACGCGCCTAGGCATGCTTCTGATCAGGTGATCAATGTCTTCCTGTGGTATCTCATTCCAAGCAACCACCAACTCCTCTCGAAGTGCTTCTAGAGTCTGAAGAGGACGTTGCAAATTGAGCAATCTCCTACCCATCATATCCCACACGTGCTCAATTGGGAATAAGTCTGGAGATCTTGGTGGCCATGGTAACAATGTGACATCATTATGTTGAAAGAAGTCTATTGTGACTCTTGCAATATGTGGTCGGGCATTATCTTGTTGGAAAGTTGGATCTGCAAGGGTGTCAAGATAGGGTAAAAGATAGGGTTCTAGAACTTCGTGGATATAACGCTGCGCGTTCATATTACCTCTGATGAAGATTAAAGGTGACCTGGAACCATAAGCTATAGCACCCCAAACCATAACTCCAACAGTGTGATGAACATGTCTTTCAACAAAAAACTGTGGATTCCTCCTTTCACCACGTCGCCTTCTAACCCTGGCACGACCATCGTGCATGCCTAAACAAAATCGAGACTCGTCACTAAAGACAATACTGTTCCATTCCTGATCCCAGAGTGACCGTTGTCTGCACCACTCAAGGCGATTACGTCGGTGTTCTGGAGTTAAAGGGAGGACCCAGTGTGGCCGGTATGAAAACAAGCCTCATTCGTCGGTAAACACTTCGCATGCCAATAGGTCTTCCGTGTTCTGCAAACCATTCATTTGCAATGGACCTGGTAGTGGAGAAACGGTTCCTTAAGGCCAATAATCTTAGGCGGCGATCTTCACGGTCTGTTGTTCTACGGCGGCGTCCAGTGCCACTTGCTCTTTGCGTACGGCCTTCTCGAAGCCATGCCTGACAACACCTAACCACAGTGTCTACACTTCTTTGCACTCTAACTGCAATTGCCCGAAAAGAAAGTCCAGCTTCCCGAAGTCCCACATACGGCCCCTATCAAACTCACTAAGTTGACGAAATCGTACAGGTCTCCGTACTCTGGGCATCGTAACCGATCGTAAAGGTTGTCAAGAACCAAAATCCGCCAACGTTGATTCTTTACTGCGGCTGAAATATTCATTTTTAGAGCGTTAGTGAATTAAAAAAAAAGCAGTATAAAAACCGGAATGTCCAACTGATAAGGCTGAAAATTTTTTCACTTGTTATTTATTAAAATAAAACCATTTAAACTGGGTGTTCGGATTTATATGTCACTAGTATATTTACGTTTAGAAATTAAAGCTTACGATTCACAGTGTGGCCTTCGGATTTTCGATTTCATTACAGGTGCAATCTCGAAATTCCTATTCTGCATGAACGATATATTTATACCCAGTGCCTTCTTGACAAATGCGGACCCCGTCATTCAGGAATACCGATTTCTCAGCGGATCCGGCAAAAAAACTGATACGCGTGGAATCTTGATTGTCTAAACAAAAGAGCAAAAGTCGGCGCAAAAAGTGGCCGCGGCCGCAGCCCCGTCACTGTTCCTGAAAGCAGCGTGTAATAAAACCGTCAAAATACACCGGCATCGGCCGCTGAAACCCAAAAGACAAAAACGAACGAGATAAAAGGAAGTAAAAAACAGCAAGTGGCCATTAGACAGCATGTTAAGTGGTGACCACCTGTGCGAGGCTGATGTTTCTTTCCCGATGAAAAAATATCTTGGGATTCCTCCCGCTCGCCAATTAACGTGGTAAGCCCGATGGGCAGCTTGATGGGCAGTGCTGGGCAAACGCGGCGTTGCCGGCTCTTATACTCCGTAAACATCAAAGTATGGGCACTCGGTAAAGCTTCTTAGAGGAGTTAACATAGGTACTGTTCATAGCACTAAAGCTTTTGATTGATAAATAAATAATAATTCATGTTTCTGACAAAATGTGTTCGTGACAGATCAAGTCCTTGGTGATCTGGACTTTGACCACTCTTTGGTAGATCTCAGCAATCTATCAAAACCAGATGAGCGCAAGGGCACTTTTTATTACTCAAGGTACAGTACTGTGTTTTGTAAGCATTGCATTGTACCAGATTGTTGCATCTTCAAGCAGTGATAATCTCCAGGTCCTCTGAGCTTGTAGATGTACAGTCGAAAGCAAAGCTGTGGATCAGATTGATCGTACAAGAAAGGAGGTCGTTGTTATGTAAGGAGATCAATGTCGGATCAAAGACCGATCCCTGAGGAGCCCCAGCGTTGACGTTGTGGGATGAAGAGCCAGACAGGAAGCCAGCCAACCATCTGCAAAGCTTGTCTGGGAGGCCATAGGAGGGAAGTTTGCATAGCAGGTCATCAAGCAGCAACGGATCGATATCAAGAGCAACGACATGAGCTTCACCATAAGACTGGATGAGTTTACTCCACAGTTGTGTGACGTGAGCTAGGAGGTCCCCAGTGTATCGCTGATACCGAAAACTATTCTACTTGTCGCTTATCAAGCCGTGACGTTAGAGATATTCCAGAACCTTCCGATCTATGCACGTTCCTATCTACGATGTTCTCAAATTGTGACTCACCACTAACTTCTTTAGTTACTTTACACCAATACGTCGATCACCAAGATTACGAGGTAATAATAACTATCAGACAATACCATACCGAAGGTCGTAAAAGGAATGTTTTCCACAGGTTGTTTAGTAAGGTCTGTAAAGGACTGTGAATCTCCCTCCCCAACGATTTGAAGGCACTGTTTTCCTCTCCAGCATCGATGGCGGCCGGTCCGCGCAACTGCTAATAAATAAGATTAGGCCGGGCCCAATTAGTATAATTCGCCATTCAGGTTGGCCAGATATGGGCGCATACTTGAGGAATAACTCGATTAACGTCTTCATCGTGGGAATTCCTGCCTTCGATGGACGCACAAACTGACAATTACAGGGTTGTTATTTTGGTTAATTGAAACGTAAGGTCTACCGGAGAGTAAGTAACCTACAACGTTGTTATTATACTCCATGTGGTCTAAACTGGTTGGACGGTTGATTGAATTAACGTTGCCTCGAAAACTTGCTTTGTAACGGATAAAGACGAGCTGTTTTGCGGAAACTTGGACAATCGTTGGACATGTCCACAACAAAGGAAGAGGAGCAGAAATAATAATAATATTGAGTTTGGGGCGTCTACATGACGAGGTGGTACTGGGCACTGCCTGTCATGTGAGGAGTACGAGAATGCGGGTAGAGGAGTTTTTCCGTTTAGACCAGCGAAAAGAGCAGTCGAGGAACTCAGCCTCATACTCGACTTCAAGCGGGAATTCCAGCAGTCCATTACTGAGTTGGCTCGTGCTCAACTGAAGAGCAACATAAAAACGGCTGAAGTAAATTACTTATTAAGACTTCATAGAGACAAGCCTGTGCATAGAATCTTCAACAGACACATAGAGGAGCATGGCTACAAAAGGTATATCCTCAAACTTCCTTAGCAGATGGATATTTGCAGCTATGCTAAAACAATACAACATGAGATTGAGGGTCGTTAGGCGTTTGCATCAACAGACTACATAGAAAACATGATATTGCGGTCGAAATTGTACATCAGGATCTGGCTCACAAATTCATCTTTATACTATACTATATGTTCAAATCGCAATGCCTTTTGGAAAACAACGAATATAAGTTGTATTTGGATCGCACACAACACACAAATAGACCCGACATAATTATTGTTAAGCAAGCAATGATGAAGACATCCCTCATCGACATTGCCATACTAAACGATAACAACCATAACAGCATAACGACAAGATCGTAAAGTATAGCGACGCATAAGCAAAATATATTCAAAGCCATTGTGTCGTGAAATCGCCTACAATGCCTTTTCAAGAAACTCGTATGACTTAGGCGCTTCTGGAACTTTTTGCAACTGAAATAGAATAGACTAGAGGTAGAAGGATTGGTAACCCGAGCGACATACTTTTTTGCTTATTGGCTTCATCATGCCTACATGAATTTGCATCGAAGGCATCTTAGTAAAAACATATGTCCATCACATCTAGATACACGTGTAACCTTAAGGAAAACGAGGATGGAAAGAGAAATAGAACGAGAAACTGTTAATTGACTTATGGTCAGAAGACCAGTAGACCACAATGGGATAACTCGTATCATACTCCATTCAAATTGCTCATTTATAACGCAAGTTGTCTTGTTTTATTTTTACAACCGCACTCAATGTAAGCTCCTTTAGTTTCTGGTGTCACACTTGCCCCAAAAATTATCATAATCTTTGAAACGCGATCGTGATACTCCTCACACTTATGCGATAAAGTAAAAACGGATTACATTAACTAAGACTAGCGCAGTTGTTGGCATGCTTATGCAATGCTATGAACTGTATACTTTAACTTTATCTGAATTCATCTTTATCTTTGTCTTTACCTTCGTCTTTATCTCCTTCTTAATCTTCATTTTCATCATCTTCGTCTTCGTCTTCGTCTTCGTCTTCGTCTTCGTCTTCGTCTTCGTCTTCATCTTCATCTTCATCCTAATCCTCATTCTCATCCTCATCCTCATCCTCATCTTTATCTTTATCTTCATCTTCATGTTTATCTTCATCTTTATATTTATCTCTATCTTTATCATCTTTATTTTTTCGTCATTTTATCTTTATCTTTTTGTCTTTTTATATATTCACTTTTTTTCTTTTACCTGTTTTTCTTTTTATCTTCACCTTCTTATTTTTAGCTTTTTATCAATATTGTTTACTTGCATATTTTTTTCTTTAAATCGTTTCATCTGTATCTTGTAATACGTCGTTTCTAGCGGTAGCTACAAGATTTACGACAGTAGTACGTTTCTTATCGTACCACTCAATTTCCTATCTTCTTCTTCTTGGGCATTGTGCTATATAAAAACTTAAATATTCCTACTAAAAGGCAAAGCTTGAGCATTGAAGTGTTTATACAAAAATAAAAGCAATTTTCGGCGAAAGTTTGTATGTAATTGTGTTTCACGTTCACAAGCGTTCGTCCTACACTAATGGCGGATTTTTACAAAACATACAGTGAATAACACAGCACAGAACATAGACACCACAAAACATATACGGCAAGAACGCTATTGGCCGCATTGTCCATCCAACTCCTATATTTCTGATGTCACACTTGCGAAAATACTCCTCACGCTTATGCGGCAAAGTAAAAACCAATTACATCAACTGTTATTATAAACATGAGTACAGCTCGACGTAGATACTTCTATCAATCGGTAAAAAGACGGAAACCTTAATTCCGAGAATGCTTCTTGCAACGGCGGCTGCGCTCATTCGTTAAAAATTTGGAAAGTGACAGTTTGATGATACATTTATATATTCTCGTAAACAGGTATTTAGGCAACGCTGCCAGTAATTCTTATTTGATTATCAAAATTTTGTGAAAAGATCCATTAAAATTTTAAGGTTTTCGCCGCAAGACGTCATAAATAACACCGCTTTACGACTTGGTCCATAATTTCTGTCACTAAATTGGTGATAACCGGCGATCGTGTAAATATGCATAGTTTAAATTTCTCATCGTCCCGTAAGTTATTTATTTATCGTTATGGTGTTGTTTGTATACCGGGTGTCCAGTTGCAAATTACTGGATTAGGCTTTTCAACGACCTAATAATAATTTCATTATGCCTTCAGAAATAGCCGCATACCGTGTTCCAGAAATATTCGCAGTGTTTTGGAAGAATACCTGAAAGTTGGGACTTTTATTTTCAGGAACAAGTGTGCTCAAAACCTTGAGGGTTGTATGCGTGTTTACACCGACGTTTCCGCAACCCTCCTGTGCCCTTAACACAGTAGCGTAGCTGGCTTCTTAGGGGCCCCAGATCAAAATCCGTCAGGGAGCCCTGCAATATTCGAGTGAATCCCAAATGGACAGTTACGATCGGGGTAAAGGTTTTATACAAAAAATGCAAGGAAAATTCAATTTTGCAAATTTGTTTCAAAAAAATGACGTCAAGTAGATGGACTCCATACTTCCCAGTAGTGAACTTTAGTTCATACACAAAATGGGTAAGTTTCTGTCACAATCATCAATACACGATTCGGGCTTTTCATGAAAAAAAATCTGTAGATTGCGATATCGAGCGTGTACGTACAATAATAAATAAAAAGTTACCTAATACGGGTACGTTTTTACTTAAAATGTGCTCTGCGAATAAACGCTTGTTTGATGTCCGTATGAACAATCATTGAAGCCAACATTTTTTTATACAAAAATATGGATTTTCACCGGAATGCAACTCACCTAATTGTGCCATTGCAGAGACCACTGTGACGAAGGAGAAGATAATGATGATGTGGCAATTTGTTCTTTGGCTGCCCATAGTACTCTGCAAAAGAAAAAAAAACATGAGAATCAAACCCGGTGGTGTCGATAACAAGTGGTACAAGGCATTTGCAATCTATGAAGGATTGGTATAGGTAAATGTTAGCCAGCGTGAGCGTGGTATGGTATAACACTTGGTATAGCTACGTCAAGTCCATTTCATAGTGAATTTACTTGGCTCCTGATATATCGTAACTGTTCGCAACCTTCCTGAAATAGTGTATTCTCCAGAATGACACACAGCTAAGTATGAAAAAATTTGTAAAAAACTAGTCACTCATACCACCCGTGACTGTTAGCAATAAATTGTCGCCGAATTCAGAATCTACATCCCCGCTTTACGCAACGAAGAGGCTGCTATCCAGATGATGGACTCGCAACAGTTAGAAGTGAAGTGGGCCAGAATTCTATTTCGATGGAATGTAGCGTTTACCGTGGGTTGATGGACGTTCTTTGGCTGAATTATCAACAATTTTTACTTTAGTTTCCTCATCTATATCGTCGTCAAAAGAGGTCTCAACTGCCATATCATAAATATTGACAGAACATTTGTAAAGCTGCTTTTGAAATGGTTTTGTCAATTCTTTCGGAAGCCTTCATTGCTTTAAAAAGCATAAATCCTAGTTAGGTGGCTTTACCGCTAAAGCCCATTGTAACCACAGTTTCCCTTATATTGCCACTATGAACAAGCATATAACAGAACTGCCTTATCCTTATTAGAAGCTTTGATCTGTGAACTTGGTTACGCTGTTTTTAGTGAATAGATTATTGTGGCCATCCATCCATTCCATTATATTATTGAACGTTTTATTAATTCTCGAGCAACTTCTTTGGTCAATTCATGTCGATAGAGTTCTAGCAGACTGCCAGTCTCTGAAATATTCAGGCATGAGAGTTTTTCAGTATAAATCTGTGTTTATATACACTTTTCCAGCTCTCGGGAAACTTTTTAAAAATTGGCCCTGGTTTTAGGTACATAAAATTATATTTACAATTGTTTTGATGGTGTTCGACAAAAATTAGAGGATATGCGTTTGGAAAAAAGAACTTTCTTCTTCAACCGAATAATTCTTTTTTGCAGCACGAAAATTCAGTTTGTACTCATAACATTGTGTTGCTACTAATATGTGGATGTACTAGAGCATGGTTTAAAGTGCCGATGTTGTGACATTATATTTCAATTTCAGTATCGCAAAATGTGATGAATTGATCTTCCTGTCAATGTGATTACTGTTAACTTAAACTTGCATCTACACTACGACGCAAAATTACTGGACAAACAAAATTCTGTTTAAATTAAAATTGAAATAACTTTTTCGATCTGGAAATTTTTGTTGTTATACAGGATACAATTAAAAGGTGCATTTTGCCCTAAATTTCTGAACACCCTGTGAAAATATTGGATTACTGAATAATGTGTCTTCGAATGAGAATTTTAAGCCTCAACTTTTCTCAACAGTCGTTTTTTTGACCCATGTCGATATCTCAATTATTGAAGAATATATGATTTTTTGAAGAAAATCATGCGAATCATATTTGAAAAATTACAGTGACAACATTGGTACGAAAAATATACGGGGTGACTTCGAAGTTGAGTCATTTATTTTAACAGTGAGTAGATCTAATCAAAAGAAATGTTTTTTTCCTTTACCATTTTTCTGGTAAAATTAAAGTAACAAAGTTATAGCCCTTTGGAGGTTTGAGTACCGCCCTGTCTCAATAATAATATTATGTGATCGTGTTTGGCAACAACGGATATAATCCGCCTTATCGGTTCATCGCATCGGAAACAAAAAAGCGAAAGAATTTGGAACGATGTTTTTACAATTATTTTATTCAGTTGTATACAGTCAGTGTCAGTCGGTAACGCGTGAGTGGATAGTGGTGTCTGTTGCGTGGCTCAAACGAAATAAAAAATGGCACATGTTTATGCGGATCGGTTTCCCAATCGAGTGCAACCAACCCCTCGTGCCTTTGTTAATGTAGTACAACGGGCTCGTGAATCAGGTGACTTAAGACCTCACAGGGGACGGCATGCCGGTGCTCCAAGACCTCACGATCAAATACAGGTCCGCACTGAAATACTTGTCGGGAGGGTACTTTATAAAACAAGGTAATTTTTTTTTAATTTTTTTTTTATTTTTACACACATATTTTGGTTTATCTTCCTTCTACAATCATTATCTGAAAATTAATGACTCAACTTCAAAGTCACCCTGTATATCAGGTGAAACTATGGTACCGTGAACATCATCCAGTCTTCGAGTCAAAGCTGTAGCAGGAGCTGTCCTTTCTAGAAGAGCTTGAAGTCGCAGAGGCCGATCTTCAACCTCGTTTGTTATTTTCCGTCTTATCTGCCCGGGTCTTCGCGATCAAGAACCAGTTACTCTAAATATGTGCACCTTGTAAAGCTACAGCTTGCGTTACTTGTTCCGGTGCCCTTTCTGTTGAGTAGTGCTACAAGAATTTTTCTGACATGCCATGAAAATGCTAACAGACAAAGCATACTTGAAAGAATTTCTTAACCGGCAAACCCTGCTTGAAACAATTTCTTGATTATGGCTAAGATTCGCATGATTTTCAATAATTGAGATATTGACATGAATCAAAAAAAGAACCGTTAATAAAAGTTGAGGCTTAAAATTCTCAGTTGAAGACACATCATTTAGTATTCCAGTGTTTCCACAGGGTGTTCAGAAGTTTAGGGCAAAATGCACCTTTCAGTTACCCCCTGTATAACAACAAACATTTCCAATCTTTTAGCAACGTCGGCAGTCGATAATGATGACAATCGAATTACCAACAACTTGACGAAAATTTAACGAAATTGATGCAAAGGTTACAAAGTTATTTCAAATTTAATTTGAACAAAAATTTGTTGCGTGACGGTGTATATGCGTAGCAAGAACAACTGCCTTATTCGAGAAAAGATCATGTTGCATGCGTGGCCTATCATTATATTCTGTTTTATCGTTATTCAGTATTGGTACCACTCATTCATGTCATTTGGCGCGCTTGTGTTTTTCTAGACACATACATTTTTCAAGCAAAATTAGAGGGTGTGCGTCTGAAAAAAAAATTACTTTCATTTTCTGGAAGTATGTGTTTCCTTGCGTAACGCGCGAGAAATTCCCCTAGCTATCAATGTAAGCGCGTATCGTCCGCGGATTGCAAAATAATCGCGCACCAGTTATCTTTCCAGAGTCAGACGAGCGCGTCTCGGGGTCAAACCGATTTGTTGCTGTCATATCAACTTTTTTCGCGATCGCGTAAGACCACCGTTTTACGATCAAGAACATACGAATCCTATTTATTATTCTAATTAGATATTAATTTATTTACGTCTACCACCTACTAAAAAGCCTACCCACGATTTATACAATCGCTGATCTATGTTTACTTTTGAAATTCAACGAACTGTTGGTCGAATTATGCGGGATTCGGATTCTGCTTAAAGTTTTATGTTTTCGAGAAGAAGATTTTGGGATGAGAAAATGTACAATTTCACTTCTATTGTATTCCACAAATCTATTCTTGTTCTATTCACGTACTAGGATACTATGCAGGGGAATCTCAATACCTGTGGGAGATACAGATTAGATTAAATTAGGAAAAAGCTACGTTAACTGCGGCGTATTTACCTGCTGTCCAGAAACTTGTAAGAATTTCATGTCTTACTGAGTGACGAAATATTATCGATTTATCTTCCCATGAGCAGCAAGTGATAAAATGGTCAGGTTTGGCTATCAAAAGTGAATGGTCGATAGTGTCAAACCCTTTAGAAAAGTCTAAAAAGGTGGGTCCATTTGGACTTCAATTGCTGCAAGATAATGTCTGGATAATTTAACTTTGGCATAGATTGATAGCTCCTGCAAATAACTCGAGGCATGTTCGAGGATATCTTTCTCATCGATTTCCCGGAAGGTGCATTGGAGCTTCCAGTAAAGTATCCTGGACAGCGCGTTCTCCGGATTTAACCCTCCTGGATATTTTTTGGGTTTTATTAAAAACCAGGTTCATCAGCATACTTTTGAAACTGAATATAAGTTAGGAGAATGTGTAATGGAAGCATCTAGTATAATTACACAAGAAATGTTTAAAAAATAATGGCAACCTATACTAAGTGACATATAAATCCGAATACCCAGTTTAAATGGTTTTATTTTAATAAAATTTTGTATAAGTACTTAATGAAGCATAATAAGTGAATGATAAAATTTCAAAATGATTGCACTGCTTTAAAGCCTTTAATAATGTGTGGATGCATCCTGATGTGCTACGCATCCTCCAACGCGCCTAGGCATGCTTCTGATCAGGTGGTCAACGTCCTCCTGTGGTATCTCATTACAGGCAACCACCAACTCCTCTCCAAGTGCTTCTACAGTCTGAGGAGGACGTTGCAAATTGAGCAATCTCCTATCCATCATATCCCACACGTGCTCAATTGGGGATAAGTCGGGAGATCTTGGTGGCCATGGTAACAATGTGACATCATTATGTTGAAAGAAGTCTATTGTGACTCTTGCAACATGTGGTCGGGCATTATCTTGTTGGAAAGTTGGATCTGCCAGGGTGTCAAGATAGGGTAAAAGATGGGGTTCTAGAACTTCGTGGATATAACGCTGCGCGTTCATGTTACCTCTGATGAAGATTAAAGGTGACCTGGAACCATAAGCTATAGCTCCCCAAACCATAACTCCAACAGTGTGATGAACATGTCTTTCAACAAAAAACTGTGGATTCCTCCTTTCACCACGTCGCCTTCTAACCCTGGCACGAGCATCGTGCATGCCTAAACAAAATCGAAACTTGTCATTAAAGACAATACTGTTCCATTCCTGATCCCAGAGTGACCGTTGTCTGCACCACTCAAGGCGATTACGTCGGTGTTCTCGAGTTAAAGGGAGGACCCAGTGTGGCCGGTATGAAAACAAGCCAAAACTTCTCATTCGTCGGTAAACACTTCGCATGCCAATAGGTCTTCCGTGTTCTGCAAACCATTCA